TTTAAATTTAAAAACTGACTATAACATCTTTGCTTTTAAAGTGATACATATGAGAGTTAGTGTTGGTGATCTGTGCAAAACTTCTAAAGTAGTGAGTGAAGATGAAATATTATTTTTTACTTGCCAGAACTTAATATTTAAACAACTCTGATTACCAGCTTTTTTAAGTTCCTGCCATACCATTTAGACCCTAAGAAAGACGCAAATGTACTGCTTATACCAGTAAATACTGATGAATATGTACTCAATACAAAGAACTATGCTTCATATGATGAAAATCAAATGAACAGTTTCCATTCTCCAGAATGTTTATATGGGTTGGGCGTAGATAAGAATTCATACACATAGAATTTTGGCAAAATATTTTCTACCTACCATAAAAGAGACGCTAAACAAATGGTTCAAAGTTCTAAAGGATGTGTAAGGAAACAATATGTAATCATGGATTTAGCACAAACATCATAGAAAAAAAAACGTAGCACTTGGGGCTTCCCTGGTGGCGCAGTGGTTGAGAGTCCGCCTGCCGATGCAGGGGACGCACCGGTCCGGGAAGATCCCACATGCCGCGGAGCGGCTGGGCCCGTGAGCCATGGCCGCTGAGCCTGCGCGTCCGGAGCCTGTGCTCCGCAGCGGGAGAGGCCGCAACAGTGAGAGGCCCGCTTACCGCCAAAGAAAGAAAAAAGAAAAAGAAAAACGTAGCACTTAAAATGAGACTTGAAGCATGGACAGAATAAGAACTATTAAAAATAGTTTCTGTGCCTCCAGAGGACTGCTAAGATAATCTTATGAAACATGTTAACATAGGATGCATTTTTTTCTCCTGTTTCTTGTCCAACTTGAGTGAACTTGCATAGTATTTTCAAATATTTAGGTGACGTGTCATGTGAAACAGCTTTGCTCCAGAAGCTTCCTTTATTTTGAATGAACTATATCAAGTTGGAATTTAGAGAAATTTTACTGCTTACCTAAATAATTTTTGTTGAATATTGTCATGATTAAAATGTAAAAAGTAAATTTTACTTTTATGACTATTTATTTTCTGTTTCCCAAATATATCATAGCTTCAGGGTATAGAGTATAATTTTTATTTTCTCACCACAGTACAAATATTCCCTGCCACAGCTCTTAACAGAAAGAATGTCCTCAAAAAAAGAAAATAATAATACACACAGAGCCTTCCAAATGTGTTCAGATTAAATCCAAGTTTATCATGAACTACAAGCTTTTTTACCTCGCCCCCCAATTTACATTTCTTGTCTTTTGGCCTAGAATGCTTTTCCTGCAATATTCAGAGGCAGATAAAGGAGTTTCTCAAGTGCTGGAAATTGCAAGTAGGTTAGTATGAATGGAGATAGTGAGTGCGGAAGGAGGTCACATTTAAAGGGTTTCTTAAATATTGTGTGGAAACTTGTAGGCTATGCTAGCATTTTGTAGGAAAATTAACTGGAGTTTCCCAAAAGAGGACATGATCAAATGCTGTGGAGAAGTATGGCAACAAGTAGGCTACATTCTTAATAAAAGCAGTGGCAGTGGAGTGGAGTGTGTCAACATGTGACTTAAAATGAGTAGGTGGATATGCATGTATGGAAAAATAATTTAAGAAATTGTGTTCTGCATGGAAACCAAACTGTTTGGTAACTTTTACCATGGGGAGAAATGGGGTCATGCGAGATTGATAGTTTTGTTGTTGTTATGTGTTTTGTTTTGCTTCACTTTGTTTCCATTGATGAGTTCTGGAAATTGTATCAGGCTCCTGTTAATGACTACAGGAGGGAGGGAAAGGGGGAGAGAGAGAGTGAGCGAGCGGGAGAGAGACAGAGACAGAGACAGAGAGAGAGAGAGAGATTGATTGAGAGTGCCCCTGAGCATGTAAAAGGGATAGTAGACACTTGGAAGATTACTCTCAGAGAGTTACAGTTCCTAATTCAAATAAAGATTTTTTTTTTTTTGATAAGAGCAAAGACATTTCCATTTTAACAGGAAGAAAGGTGCATATAGGTTTGGAGATTTGGTGGTAGGAAAATAAGAAAGTTCCTCTCTGATGACTTCTATTTTCTCAGCGTGCACACACACATATACCATGAGAGTCACAAAGGAACAGAGCTTGTAAGGACTTAGAAGAAAGAGGAAAAGCTACAAAATAATCCTTTCAATAGTGGGAACTGAAGTTAACTAAGAAAATAATACTAAGATTGTGTAGCAGCATTGCATGTCTCACTTGGATTTAGGGCCATGATTTGAAGGCAATGGATAATTACGGTTTTGTGATATTTTTCTTGGACAACATTAAACCCTACAGTTTTCCTCTCTATACCTCTATTTGGATTTCTTTAGCCACCTCAAATTAAATAATGCTTTAGACATAATTATTATCTTCCCCCAATACATTTCAGATATAGTGTGCTCTGAGAAAATGGTACCAGTATTGCCAGTGCAGTTTAAGCCAAGCACCTTAGAGTCATTCTTAAGATTTATCACTCATGAACCTGATCAATTAAATATATCCTGAAATCTTGCTGATTTTACCTCATATTCATCTCCTGAATTTACCTACTCTTATCTATCACCATTGGATCCACTCTTGTCCATTTTCGGACCAATGCAACAGAAACAAAAAGGCCAAATGCCTCCAACCGTGTTCCTTTCCAATCCATTGCATGTGCTACAGTGAAATGATCTCTTAAACACTACTTTGATCTTCATGCTTAAGACATTGTAATGACCTGTCTTTACCCGTTAAATAAAAGTCCCAAATCATAGAAGCCATAAGGTGTTTCTGACCTGGTATCCTCTTCCCTAACTTCATCTCTGCCTCTTTATTCCTACTATCTCCCTGATCAATATTTTAGTGTTTTTCATATCCCTATTGGTCCTCCTCTTCTTTTGGTCCTTTAAAAAGACTTTACCCTCTAAGGCACTGCAGTACTCCTCAAATTGGATAACTTACCTAATCTTTTACATCTCAGCAGAGACTCTGCTTCCTAAGGGAAGTCTTCTTTGACATCCCAGTCTAAATTAAGTGTCCATATTCACTCCCAAGCTCTTTCTCTTTCCTAGAACAATCATATTTATAATTATTCCTACAGTACCTTTAAGACTCATAAAGGCAGGGCCATGTCTATCTTTTTTACCTTCATAACCCAGTAGCAAGGAAACTTTCTGGCCCACACCTGCTGAAAGCATTTTGTTCAACTACTGAACAGAAAGATACATTTATCTACTTTTTACTTACATTTATATTGTTTCCTATTTCCAAAGTTCCCATGGAGGGTTGAAAAATAGTGTAATATGTGATATCATATAAAGTTTTTAAATTAAAAGGCACTCATTAAAAAGAAATGACTTTTGTTTCATGTGTGATAAATGAGTTCCAAATATGCAGAATATGTAGATCAACAATTCATGTCTGAGAGCAAATCGTGTTTGAAGTGAGAATAGTTTTACTAAAAAGGATGAAAGAAGAAAAATTGGGTAACTTAGCTAAGAATGGTACTGGTTGCTACAGCAATCCTATTACAAGAAAAATAATATTTTAAATCTTCTCCTAATCATTTAACTACAAGAATGTCCCTAATATTATCAAAAAGCTCTTCTTATCTTTCAAATACCTTCACATTTGCTCTGAATTTATGAGAGCATTAAGGCTTTACTATAGCTATAATTAGATCTACTGAAAAAGTACCTTCTCATTTTTGTCAATTCCTGATTATACATGGGGATGGCAGAAAACCTTAGCATGGATTACTAAAACCCCAGATCATTTATAGCACATGAAAATTGGCTCCAATTCATTATGTCTATCAAAAACTTCCTTTGAAATACAAGTTTACCTTTAAGCTTAGCAAATGTTCATTGATACTTGAATAAATGCTCTTAAGTATATATAGTGAGTTTTCAAAATATGAAAAAACATAGATGGTTGATTAGCTTTATGTTAACTAAGCTCTAAAAAGTAATCAAACCATCAGTTTGATGGTCTTTACTTTGTCCATAATGGGCAATTGGAATATTGAAGTTTGGCTTTATTACCCATTGAGAAGAAAGAAAGATACAAAAGTCTAGGGAATCTACAGAATAAAGAGACTTACTTTGTTAGCATTTACTTACCTGACCACCAACTTAAGAAAAATATCGGAGAACATTTTCTTCATGTGATTCTAAGTAGTTCAGTGACATTTTTCGTGCCATGCCATTTACTCATGTGTGCATTACATAACAATACGTGAACACCTTCTGTGGTCAAACACTGCGATGAGTACTGTGAATGGAAAATTGAATAAGGCACAATTTTTCCCCTTTGTAGAGCATTATAATTTTTATAGTATAAACATGACTGATATTAGAATAGATGCATGTTGAATCAGTAAGAATCTCAATGAAAAGTTCTAAAATGGAGTAAAATGTAAAACAAATGCCTAAAATCTGACTCCTCCTGGAATCAATATAATAATAATAATGTGAATTAATAATAATGTGAATGATATACCAGCTCAATTGTGCATTCTCTCCATTCTAACAGAATTTTGTGAAGGTTTTAGCACCTACTAATTGGTTTATTTATTAATTCAACAACAAAATTTTAAGTAACTACTGTGTACCATGCCATTCTCTGAGCATAGTGGAAATTTTGTGTTTCTTCAACATAAGTTGTGTTAATAATAGCATAAATGAAAATTATACTCAAAGCACTTCTTCAGTTTTAAATACATATGAGTATTTACCTTTTATAATATAATTTCTTATAAGCTCCTGTAGCATAAAAATCACTAAAAATATATCTATTCTAACATGTGTAATTTAAATACTTAAAATACATATTTAATTATCTGAATGAATAGGCTGTTATTTATGATTCAGAAACCGATGAAAAATTTTTGAAATTAATGAAAAGATGGTGTTATATGTAATCTGTGTATACTAGTCAAAATAATGACATTATTCACAAAACAAACACTGCATCTGTTCCAGGGAAAAGCTTAGTCTCTTATTTCTTTTGACAGTGTGCAGACCTGGGTTCTTCAAAGCTTCACCTCACAGCCAGAGCTGCAGCAAATGTCCACCTCACAGTTATACCCATGAGGAAGCTTCAACCTCTTGTGTCTGTGAAAAGGATTATTTCAGGAGGGAGTCTGATCCACCCACAATGGCATGCACAAGTAAGGAAACCCATGGACATTTGGTGATGCTAACTTTCACCAGTTTGAAGAAAGAGCATGATGGAGCCTGTTACATTCTATTACCATTTCCCCTAAAACAGGCATAATGTTTAATCTTCCAATATAGTATTTCACCAGATTTCAACCTTCTTGAGTAAGCATTGAGAAATTTGAGTCTTTTTTATCACTTACTGTGAGAAGCATCCATTTTCCCTCATTTCAAATTCAACATCTGAGCCACAAATATGGAATTTTTCCTTTTATTTTATGATTTATTTTAGTGTTCATGATAGCCAAACATGACTTTGACAAATCCATTTCCCCGTTTCTGGTAAACCTTTTTTATTTTTCTTCCTCTTCGTCTTCCAAGGCAGCTTTCTGATCACAAAAACATGCAGTACATGGCACTTCTACCTTCTCGTTCTAACCTGCCCCACTAAGCTGCAAAGACCAATGAGAAGGTCATTTATAAAAGAAGACAGGAAACACTACACAAACATGGAGAACTGGGGGTTGGCAAATCATATTTAAGAGTCAAATATAAAATCAGTTGTCAACTAGGATTTTCAAGTAGCTGTTGTGTTTATTAACAGTGAGTGTCCTTAACTTATTAATTATATGATCAGGTAATCTTATAATGAGTAGATGAATATTAAACATTTAATTCCAACAGTTGCAGTGGGTATATCCACATCTATCAATGTTTTGGTGTTTTTGTTTTTCTAGTGTTCCACATGTTTCTGGAAAGGAAACAAATTTATGTGTTAGTTTGCTTCATGGCAATACTTCTTTAGTTTTTCTACCATAGTCTCTATAGCAGATCAAACAAAAACAGAAAATTGAAGGGAAGAACAGTGAATCCCATCTCCCCATAACATTCAGTTTCCATGACGTCCCATGTTTTACTATTTTAGATCCCAGTAAGTTGTAGGTGCTTTCAAAGATGAAGACACATTTTTTTGAAATTTAGTATTCACGTGTATCATACAAAAAGACATACAATTTCTTTACTTAAATAATCACAAACTGAAATTTTATCTGAATTTCAGTGTCAGTTTCATCGTGTCAGTGAAACATATTTTCATAATTTCTCAAATCATTGATATTAATTAACTCTGTATTGCTAAAGATCATTCTTTATCACATTCTGATAATTTTATGGGTTAGATGATTACTAATTATAAACAATCCTCTTCAAATAAGTAAATGACATTATTATATACATTTTTTGAGAGGATACATTTGAATTGAGGAGATATAAACAATGATTGCATGTGATGCATATTGGTTTCAGTGGAAATTGCTTCAATTATTCAGAGCAAAAGAAAGCCCAAATAGTGGGGAGGAGTGTTGGCTAGACTGTAGTTTGGTAAATTAGGGAGAGAAAACCATATCTTGACCTATTTAAATTTTATTAATTTTGTAAGTATTCTTTCTTTAAGTAGTCCATGCATGACTTTTATCTTTCTCAGCACAAATGTGAGCCCCCATTTCTGTAAATTTACTAGGTTTGGGAATGGTGGAGAACCCTGCTCTGGTGGCAAGGACTGCTTAGCTTTCTTTTAGGACCTGAGGCTTTATATTTTCTCTGTCTCCAGGTGTGTGAATTTCTAATACTGTATCTCAAAAGAACACTAATTTGTATGCATTTCTCAAAAAAGACTATTGGGAGTCCTGTAGAAGATCTTTCTAATATATAATCTGTGAGTGTGTGTGTTCTGTTCTTAGTTGCATTCATAATAACACAAATTCTTCATATGATGATACCAAATGAGATGGCTTGATTGATGTCTCTTTGGCTCTTTGCTATTAAATTTATGGTTTCAACTACTTTTAATGTTTTTTTCTGGTACTCTGGACAACAAAATGTTATAAACCTGTAGGAAAAGAAAATCAAACAAAATTCAGATTCTAATGAATCTGTTCAAATTGAGGGTACTTCTCACAGCTCTACTTTGGTTCGTGCATCACATCTATTAGCAGGACAGTGAAATTTCATTACATTGTTTTTAGGTGCATGTCAGTCTCAGTCTCCACTGGTTACCTCTACTTTAGGGCTTCCCTTGAATATGAGTTTTATTTTGAATTTGAGAGGCATATGTGCCCCCACCCACATGCTGAGGGGCTGTTAGTAGCAGAGTCAAGAAAAAGAGTCAGACTCTGATGCAGTTTTTACAGATTTAGAGGAAAGGTGGTAACTGAGGGGTGTATTTCAGTTGGTAGAAAAAAACCCTCAGAAGTTTGATATCTTTTTGAAGTAGACAAATTTCAAGTATATTTTACCTTTTTCTCACAAGTAGACCTGTAACATTTTGATCTCAAATTACGTTTTCTCCATAACCTTCCACTATTAAATAAATAAGGTAGAGGGAATAGAAAAAAAAAAAAACCTTGTATTTCCATCTTAAGTGTTTGTTTCAACTTAAAGTGACTGTTTTAAATCGAAGTGTGTGAGGTTGTATGGAAAAATTCACAGGTTTCAACCACAAATATAACTAAAGTGGAGATTGTTTTGTCAAAACTGGCAGCTTTTACGTTATGGGGTTCTTTAATTTTAAGTGACATTTTATAAATGGTACGTAGCTTTCTTATTACTTTTAAATTTAGTCCTCAGTAGTCATGGCTTAATAAATTTTAGGTAGAAATTAACATTAATTTCTATATTTAGAACAGACAGCACATATTAAGATAACTAAGCTATGTCATCCTAAGTAGCTTAATTTATGCTTATGAACCATTCAGCTACCATCACAGTCCATTTTATTCCCTGTTGGGAAATCTTTACTACGTCTGAAACAAATATAAATGTATTTTCTCTTTGAGAACATCTGATCATATGATATTAACAGCTGACTGAAGTTGTAACTCTGAGTATCTAAAAATCTACTATAGATTCAGACATGATGCAATGAATTCTTTTAAAGACTCTATTTTTTAGAGCAGTTTTAGGTTCACAACAAAATTGAGAGGAAGGTGTAGAGATTTCCCATGTATCCCCTGTCCGCACACATTCATAGCTTGTCTCATTATCAACGTCCCCCACCAGAGTAATACATTTGTTACAATTGATATGTAAACAAGTTTAATTCTCTTTAGTCTGCTAACTATTATTTCAGAAATAAAATAATATACACATGAATATTATTTGTTATTTATATATAAATTTATTCTGCTGATCTTTCAAGGTCAGAACATGTTCATTCTTCCTCTTATTGTGTTTTTGAGAATTATTTTTAAAATAAATTTTAGGTTTCCAATTAAGTAAAATTCACAATTTTGCAGAAACACAATATTAAAACAATATCAAAGTAAGCAAACTCTTATTACAGATTGCAATGTTGATCAACTACTTAAATCCTAGTTCTTTCTTGACATATGAGGGAGGTTCCAAATTCTGTTGGTGGTTTATCAGTAGCTATGCAATTTATTTTGAGATAAACTAAGGCTATTTTTTCTACTTTTGGTGGAATTTGTAGTCAAGAGCCACACTAATAAATCCTATTTCTACCTGTGCTTATTGCTTAGTAAATCCTTCATGTTTACTTCCTAGGTTTCAGGGATGAGTATCACTGAGGAAGTAATCTGTTCAATCCCCAAGGAGAATTTGTCCTTGGACTTGCCAAAGAACTTGCCACTATTTGAATACATAATTATATCTAACATTTTTTGCATAAATATTTTTACTCCATAATTCTTTACATATACACTAAGCAAAACATCTTTATTTGAATTTGCAACTTTGCCAAGATAAGTCATTTCTATAGTATACCAACCCCACTATTGTTTCTACAAAGGTATAAGAAGATTTTTCAAAGATTATTACAAATTGATGACTCTTGCATTCTCCCTGCTTAACAGATTGATTGCAAATCCATTTTTTTCCCTTCAGACCAGAGATTTGTGTAGTAAACAATGCTTAATTTTATCATCTCAAAATTTGTTTTTTTCACTTTACTTTGCAAACCAGGACCCCCCTCAGCTCCTCGGAATGCCATCTCAAATGTTAATGAAACTAGTGTCTTTCTGGAATGGATTCCTCCTGCTGACACTGGTGGAAGGAAAGATGTGTCATATTATATTGCATGCAAGAAGTGCAACTCACATGCAGGTGTGTGTGACGAGTGTGGCGGTCATGTCAGGTACCTCCCCCAGCAAATCGGCCTGAAAAACACCTCTGTCATGATGGTGGATCTGCTTGCTCACACAAACTATACCTTTGAGATTGAGGCAGTGAATGGAGTGTCCGACTTGAGCCCAGGAGCCCGGCAGTATGTGTCTGTAAATGTAACCACAAATCAAGCAGGTAAGTGTGATGTCTAACCAAATCGTGTACCTTAGGCCGAGCACTGTCAGTCATCTCCACAGCTCAGGGCAACGTTGCCTGAGACATGAGAGACGACTTCTCATTATCCAGAGGGTTAGGACTTAAAGTAAAATACATCTTGAAATGCTTTATCTTAGCTTTAAGCAAATAAAAGCTAAGGCTTTCTTAGCAGACACATCCATGGACAGAAAAAAAAAAAAGATAGGCTTTAATTGAATTTTTTCATTAAAAAATACATTTCTGGCTCAAATCCATTTGTGGCAAAATTTTTTATCCCATAACTTCACACAGTGCAATAATTACAGCTCAGATCTACATTGTTGTTGTTTTACTTCAGGTGTTTTTGTTTAGTTCATTAATTTAGCAGGTAATCTGGCAGGTTGGTTTGTTTGTTTGGCACCACATCTGAATTTTCTTTGCAGATTGAAATAGGGTTTTCTTATTATTTCTATTATTATTATAATAAAAATGCATGAGATAATTTTTTGATAAATCCACTTATCAAAATTAAAATAACTATGAACCACTGTACAACCACCATACATGTGAAGATACATCTATATGCCATATGAAGATCTTGGAAATATTAGGGAGTAATTATTAAGGAGTAGGGAAAATAGTTCTGCTTGAACTACTAATTCCCCTAAATTTTCCCCTCAAATATTTGATTTTAAGTAAACAATATAGAAGAATTATTTTCTGTTAAAATAAAAACCAAAGATAAACTGTGGCTGAATTAATAACTCATTATGTGGCAAGAGTCATTCAAAGCCTATGAGTAACTTATAACTTGTTTTTGTCAACAACAAGTACATGGGCGGAAAGAGACATTAAATGTAACTTTCCTTCTATTTTTTGGCCAAAACTCTCAGTCCAAGGGCATAAGCTTGTTACCTCATAATTACCTCAGGTGGGCTTTTGTGGGTGAGGACATCTTTGCCGGTAGAGCTCACAATGCAATAGGATGTGTTTGACTGAATCGAATCAGACTTAATTCATATAATGTTAGTATAAGTTTGTAGGTGGTGGAATGATCTGGTTGACAAGAGAATGCTGTTGGTAATCAAGTTTTGGCCAAAATAATTAGAATTATTGGATGTGTCAGGTAAATGACGTGGTTATCTCTTGAGAATAAGAAAAAGAAAACACATGCCATTGAGTTCATAGTTATTTTTGAGTGATAAAACTGAAGAAAACATTCAAAAGTGGCCCAGATAATATACAGGTATGTGCGTAATTCACTAAGAATCATTCTAAGCACTCTAGATGTTCTCATCCATGTTGAATACATGCCAATAGCATTTTTTTATTCCATGAGAAAAAACACGGTACACGTATACACCACCGTCCTCAGTGAATCCTTTATATTTTCTCCATTTACTCCCTAACCTAAGGTTGAACTAATAAAAGTGCTAAAAAGAGCTAGACAAAAATAGTGAAAGTTAGGTTTTCCTTCAGTATAGACTCAGCTTCTGGCAATACTAGTATATGTGGATTTTCCATCGCAGTGCTCTGTGAATGTGAACTGCCTTCCCACATCAGAAAAATACTGGCATTAAACATTTGATTTCAGACTTCATATGCAACGTCTTTCAAGCTTACTTGGTTCTACCTGTGAATCTTTCATTAACATATTGAAAGCATATTGAACAATCATTAAGAGTTGTATCCCTTTGGGAGGACATTTTCTAAGCTTGCATAACTTTCTTTGAAAGATATTTCTCTGATGAACTAGATGTAAGAAATGACCGTTTATTTTTTAAATGATGTTATTAATAAATGTTTGGTCTAGTTGTCTTTGACTTGCTGGCCTGTTAGGACTGCAAAGTGTGTTTTTTTTTTTTCAACTATAAATACCTTAAATATCAAGAAAGAATAATTTTTATCCAGCTGTTCAAGGCATGGCTATCATGTAAAACAAACATTTGTATTCAGAGCAGAAACTTTTGGTTGCTGCTTCTTTTCCCCAAGTTCTCAGAGTACACATAGTGTAAAATCACCACAAAACTACCCCAAAAAAAAATCAAAATAAGAAGGGAGATTTTCGCAGTATCTGACATTTCAGACCAACTAAGTCTCAATTTCCACAAAAATTATTAACTTCAAGTAGCTCCTAAAAGCTCTTAGATTCAATGCCACTATGCTGGACATTTATCAAGTACCATCATTATAGAAAGTGGGCTGTAGTAGTTGGTTTTAATGTCTGAATTTTTCTTCAGCATTAAATTGAAGAAAGTTATCTGTACCATATGCGGTTTTTATATAAAACTTCTTTCAGCAGATTCCAACATTAGTTTTATTCTCCTCTAAGGAGTGTTTTTTGAGAAATGCATTTGTTTCTTGATTTATCTCAACTTTATAATTTTTTGTCATTTTCTGATTGATTTATATTTGTGACAAGAATGTGATATATGAACTGTCCAGATTCAAAATTATATTCAACAAGTACAAGAAGAAAAAAAATAGTAATTTTTTCAAGATGAGAATCGTGCATTAAGCTAGAAACTGAAACTGATTAGGTAACCCTGGCTCAGTCTATAAAAGGAAATAATGATTTCGTGCTGAGGATAGTGATTAAATGATTAATTTATGGATGTTTATACAGCATTTAAGACATTTTTCCAGCTATTAAATCATTATGGAGTCTAGCATCTTGCTTTTGCGAGTTGCCTGAATTCAAATGATACTATTTTTGCATGTAATTTAATAGTCAAGTCAAAAGATGAAGTTTTAAGAAAAGCTAAATACTATAATTAGTTGGAATTTATGGGCCTTGTAAAATGCAGCATAAGTACTTAGGTTGACAAGGAAAGAATTACAGAGTTATTGCGGGGATTATCATGGTCAAGAAATATAAACACATATGAAGGGGGAAACTGAGGAAAAAAAAGTAATTTACAAATGGACTTGTGGACACAGGGTGGGGGGAGGGCGAAGCTGGGGCAAAGTGAGAGTAGCATCGAAATATATATACACTACCAAATGTAAAATAGATAGCTAGTGGGAAGCAGCAATAGAGCACAGGGAGATCAGCTTGATGCTTTGCGACGACCTAGAGGGGTAGGTTAGGGATGGTGGGAGGGAGGCTTAAGAGGGAGGGGATATGTATGCATATGGCTGATTCACTTTGTTGTACAAGAGAAACTAACACAGTATTGTGAAGCAATTATACTGCAATAAAGATGTATTAAAAAAGACAAAAAGGTAAAAGAACAGTGTGAGAAGGGGAAAGTGATAGGAAAATACTGCGTTGGCCAAAAGATTCATTCGGGTTTTTCCGTAACATCTCACGGAAATGTGAATACTTTAATCACATAAAGAACTCTAATAGTCAAATTGCAAAGTGGATAAAATAATGGATATACAAGCCGTGCTTTATTAAACTCAAACTTAGAAAAGGAATAAAATTCATTGAGCTCCTCCAGTTTTCTAGTGATTTTGTCTTTCTATGCAGTGCCTTGTTTTAAAAAATTGATGTACATTTAGTAATTTTTCTTTATAGAGAAAAGCATTTAGATTATTTACATGACAATGCTTCTGTTGTTCTCTCCTGTTGTTCTTCTGTTTTATTATTTTAGGGCGTCTAAAAGTATATATCTGCTAGATAGATGGATAGATGGAGGGTGATATATCAACATAGGATGAAAATTAAAAATCCCATTGAAGCAGTTACTTTAAATGTTTTATTAACTGCTTACAAAAGAGTGTGCATTTATGATGCTCTTCTATAAACATATTTAAAAAATTTTTACTTTAAAATAATTTTGCACTAGGCATACTTTATCAAGAATTAAATCATAAAGCTCTTTTAATATATGCAAATGTATATTTTATCCCTAGAAAGAATAAGCTCATTCTAACTGAAAAACCAAAAGTATTAACACTTTAATTTGCAAAGGTACAGAATCTTAATTCTGAGCTGAAATAGACCAAATTTTAATTGTTTTGAAATAGTCTTAGACTCTTGGACTTTTTCCTCAGAGCACTTGATTAACATGATATGAGTAGCAAAGTGCAACAAACACTTTGGAGGGAATATCCCAACCTGTCCCAGACTATCAGAAATATCACTAAGAAATGTGATTACTGTATTTCGAAGGGTTTTATTTCTTGGTTCTTCCAAAGGTGTCTGGGGGACATGATAATCCCATTTCATCAAGTACTTTCAATTTGATGCCATTCATGTAGTTGTCCAGCATGATGTCTCACAGGATGTGGAGATGATCAGGGTTCCTGAGACTAAATTATGCTGTAGAGTTGGAAATTTAAGAGAATGCTGAATTGAGATGGTAAAAGTACATAGTTGTTCCTGAGAAGAGGGCAACAAATGTTTTCTGTTGGTCTCTATTGATTGAGATGTTAAAAAAAATGTTCATTGTCACTTGCTAGATTATTACTATAGTCATTCTGAGAGTCCTTGTTGATTTTCTTCAGTGGAGAGAACTTATTGGCTGTATTTGTAATCACCACTTGATTAAATGTATTGTTGTTTGCCAGGATTAGTTTGTCCTCTATACAGATTAAACAGGTAATTTAAATCGGCATGTTGGTAATCCCCACTCTTTATTCCTTTATTTTTTATGGTGACACTAATTGCTGCATTCCCCCCATGGATCCACTAAAGGTGTGTGTTTACTCTTTTGGCAGGAGGGAGATGCTTTAGTTTGGTCATTACTACAGTTTTACAGCTTTTACTGCATGAGCCTCAGAGACAAAGAGACATTTCTTCCAGTTGAAGAGAAAGTCTTCCAAATATACACCAGTAACCTGGTGAAATAATCAAAGAATTGAATGTGCCAGTTGTAATATGGGCTCAGGACAAAATCTCATTCATCACATTACCATCATAGCCTCCACTCAGATCAGGGTTTCTTGGTATTCCGGATTCACTTGGATTAGTGTTAGCTCAGAGGCAGTTTTCTATAATTTGTGGAATCTATATTCTATACCCTAGTTTGTAAATATAAATTTAGATCCAGAAATCTACATTTTATAATCTGGGCAGTAACACCCCCCCTCCCACTTACCTAGAAATGGCCAGAGA